TGATAACACCCCTTCATATTATGGTAAATATAGTATAGATTGTTAATTTTTGATGAAAACTTAAGATCATTAAGATATAATTATGACCAAAATGCCTGAACAAAGAAAAAAAATCTGTGCTGTTTCATTTGCTCTATTTTAAAGATAAAATTTTTTTTTAAATACTTTGTCAACAAATTTACTTTGAATTGGCCCGAACTGGCCAAGCCACTTATTAATTCTTATTGAAAATAATTAATTATAAATTATCAACCATTAAATAACTTTGGGTTTAATGAGATAATTTTTCTTTTAAATTAACTAAAAATGAAAAATATAGTTCAATCATTCTTCATCAAAGTAAGCATATACATACTTTGTAATGAAAATGTTATATTCAGTTATCAATCTGTTTGTTAATGATTTTTTTTTTTGTTTTAATTAATTTAGTGCATTTAATTCTATTTGCTATGTTATAGTTTACTTATGTTTATACTAGACTAAGCGTCTACATTTTACTAATAACTAAATGTGCTAAATAACATATAAGAACCTAATTACTTTATTTTATAGAATTAACTAATATTCCAATGTGATTTAATTAATGTTATATATAACTTAGTATGATATATATCTTTAAAAACATTATTAAACTGAAAAGTATTATTTATTAATAGTTTCTAGAGGCGTAGATTAACAAAAGAAATGATGGTATACTCAATAATAGTGGATTTGAAACTAAAAATGCTAGAAAAAAACTGGTTTTTGATACCAACAACGAGCTGTTGTATCCAAGTCCTTCTTCAACATCTTTAGAAAAATGTATTGGTAAATTTTAAATGAATCATTAAAATGAACAAGATTAACACTTCCAAAACAAGATTTTCTGTTAATTGAAATATTTTTGAGAACCATAACCTATACATAATTCAATTTCCATAAATCTATTTAACAAATTTCTCTAGCTGTAATACACATTTTGTTTATTTTCTACGAGACTAATATATATAGATGTTTCACTGTACATATAATATTATAATTCCACGACTATGTGTACATTGAATGTATTTTTAATTTCCTAATTATATTATATTATATACATTAATGTCCTTTTAGATTCAAACACATCTGTTCAATTTGAAACAACAATTATGACTGCATCATCTCCATTTAAGGTTAATAACATTGAAAATGTCTTCACAACATCAACTCAAAACAATATAATCCCTCCTATAAGTACACAATTGCAACCTGATGCAATATGCAGTAAGTTAATTTTAGTTGTTCACTTATTTTAATTCAGTAAAATAGATCTTTTGTATTCATTAATTTATGCATTAATGTGTTTTTTGACATAACAAAACTATAACATTTTAACAAAATAAGATTTTAATTTTAATTTCAAATTTGTGTGATAATGTTAAATATAAAAAAAGTGAGAATATTATCCAGTCAGTATTAGTTTAAGCCATGCTCTATTTTTTTGGGTACATATTTTTATGTTTACATTTTTTTTTACAAGTTTTCATGGCCTATTTTAGAGTAGTTATCACTTACCAGTATAAAATGTGACACTATATATATGACTTAATACAATTAAGTAATACACATAAAATATATTATCATTATAACTCTAGCCATAGGAATAAATAAATAAACTATAAAGATTATACCTAATAAAGCTGAATATTATAAGGGGATTTTACTCTCGCATGTGTTGTCTCAGTCTTACTCTTGTACAATATTATAGCAAAAACTGTCTTGTGTGGGACAACTACTTCGTCTGTGCTTGTAGTAGAATCACCAAAACTTTACAAAGCTTAGGGAAAAACTTTATCTGTGTCACGTTTATATTATTTGGATAGCATAAATACAATTAAAGTTGTCAGTTTGAGAACATTAGGTTTTTTTTTATTTAATTACAATTATTAGTTAATGCTATCTAAGAAATAATGTTGTCCCGGATTTCCACACTCAATGTAGATGTTTTCTCATAAAAGTATTTCATATGCATAAAAATTTCATCTGTATTTCAGTACATAATATGTACTATTTTCAAATAAAATACTTTTTAAATGTAATTTTTACAACTGTCTAAAAGTAATAATTTACATTTAAATATACACAGATAATTTTGTGTAAATTTAAATATATTTTTATTGTTATAAACTGTAAAATAAGTTAATATTATTTATAAATCTTAAATTGTTTTATATATAGATACTTTAAATAGAATTGATAGAAATATTCTTAACATCAAATATGATATAAAGTCAATATTTGAAAAACTTGATAAAATGCATGAAGATTATTTGTACTCAAATAATATTGGCAATAAAGAACATCAATTATTTTCCAAGACTAATGATGAAGAAGCTTTTCAAATGCCTATTAACAATCAACTTCCATTAAAAGATGAAGATAGTCTACTTTCTTTTGAAGACAAACTGAAAGAAATTTCTTTTCAAAATAAAATGGTAATATACATATATATAATAAATATTATAAATTATCTACTTTTGAATAAAATTATCTGTAATAATTGTTTCTTATTAAGTATTAATTTTTAATAACAAATATATAATATAATAATAATAATAATAATAATAATATAATATTCACAGGTTATTGAATTGAGTCGATTTGGGAGAAATACATTACCCAGTACAGTAAGAACAATAATGCGCTATCTGTTTTGTGATATTTTACTAGAAAAATATAGTTACAAGGGTCAAAAACAAAAAAAAATATTTTTTACATTGAAGTCTTGTTCAATAATTTTTGGTAAGAATGTTATTTTACTTATAATTGATTATACTTAATATGTACAATTAAGTGAAATTAATATTATTAATAAAATTACAATAAAGTGGATAATTATCAAAATAGTACCTACTATACATACATTCTGTATAGTGACATACAAGTACTCGTTATGTACTTTGTATCTTTGTATTATTACAATTTGTATATAGTGTAATATAATGATTTTATAGATGCAATAAAGAAAATAAAACGATTTTCAAAATTCGAGCAAGTAGATGTTGAACAATCACTAGGTATATTTATAGCAGGCGCAAAATTCAGAAGAATTAATGAAAGCAAAAACAAGGCTGTAATACCAAACAATTGCAATAATAATGATAATTGATTTCGATGTATTGATGTATTATTTTTTTCTAATCAACATGCTAAAATAAAGATATATTACCTACAATATTATGTTTTTTTTTATTTTAAAAAGGTTTTATTAAATATACATGTTTTGTTTATTTAATATAATGATATAATTAATATATCTTAAATAGGTACCTACCTATTATATAAGTGCAATAATAATATACAATCTATAAATAATTACAATTTCATATAGGTATTTTATAATATACTTTTTTTCTATACTTATTGCGCTAAAAAGGAGAATTATATAGCTACAATGTCTTTTTTTATTTAAAAATTGTTTAATACTATTTCTTTTTCTTATCAACATGTTAAAAAGGTCATTAGTTACAGTATTATGTTTTTATTTTCTGTTAAATATAATATATCTTAAATACCTACCAATTATAATTATATAGGTATATTATAATATACTTTTTTTTATTATGTCTTTTTTTTTGTATTTAAAAATTGTTTAATATTATTTATAATTAATAATATATTATTTTTTTTTCTTTTCACACATTAAAAAGGGTATCAGCTACAGTATTATGTTTTTTTTATTTTAAAAATGTTTAACAGTTAATATTATATCTTAAATACCTACCTATTATATTCGTATATATAAGTGCCATAATAATATACTGTACCTAGGTAAATAATTGGTAGTTCTTAATAAAATTAGGAAAAAAATATTAATATAATTTCTTTAGATTGAAAGAAGAATTTAGACGCATTGAAAAAAAGGACATTGAAAATGTTAAGTTCACCAAAATAAACTTAATTCAAAATCTAGAAGATCAAATATTTATTAACAATTATTATTACAGGTATATAATTTTATAATATACTTTTTTTCTCTACATTTAATGTGACCTAAGCTACATTGTCTTTTTTTATTTTAAAACTGTATTATGACATATAATAACTAATAATATGTTTGTTTTTTTATTAAACATACTAAAAAAAAATGATATTATTAGGTACAATACTATGTACTCTTTTTTAATGTATATAATTTTATATAACAACAAATACATCCTAATATACCTATTATATCATACTACACATGCATTTTTTTTTTATTATAGTATTAACCTTAATGCAAGACTTTGGGAAATTTCAAGAGTACCAAATATTTGTAAAAATATCAATTTAAATTTAAAACTCAAATGCTTCTAAAAGGTTTAACCATGATTGTTAATAGAACAATAGAAAAAAAATGTTAAATCAACAATGATTGAATAATGCTTAAAAATTATTTTATTTAAAAAGTTTATATATTATACAGAAAAACATCATATAAACATTTTAACTATACAGTTTATAAAATAATACTTTGTTTTCCAACTGACAATATAAAAACATTAAAAAAATAATATTTTAATCAAAAATTTGGGAAAATAAAACATTTATTTAATCATATCAATACAAACAGAATCTTAATAAAAGATCAAAAAAATGTTTTTTTGCTATCTGGGTATTGTTTGTGTTTTTCAAACTTGAATAACTATTTTGTTTAGATTTTATTTAGATTTGAATCAAAATTAATTTACTATACAATGAATAACAAGAATTACATTTTCAAATTATAGATTTATATTATTAAAAAAATGAAAAAAAAATCATTACAATTAAAAATCTACTTAATGTATGATAACATTTATGATTAATGATCAGTTATTATTATACATACAGAAAAACATAATACATATACATTAAAACTAATAATTTAAATTGTTATTACTTATTAAAATGTTCACCTTCAAGTACAAAAAAAAATTTTTCCTGGTCTCAAAAAATAGAATTATATCACAAAAGGTTTCTAATGTAAAGAAACAAATTAATACTATACATTTAATTTAAAGATCATTAAACAGTTCACTCAAATAAACTCTACCTGTTTCAGAAAAGGGAACTTTAATTACCTTAGTCTTAGCATCAGGCATCATATTATCTAATAATTTCTCTAGATGAGGAACTGAAAATATATCCAAATTATCTAACTCATCTTTTTTTTTTTTAAGAGTAACCTCATCTCCTGGGCGCTGTGTAGGCTTTCTTTTTCTGATTATAGGTATATTGTTGGTTGTTTCTTTGCTATGGGATAATTCAAATGTATAACCATTAGCATGCTTGTACTGTTGATATTGAGGTATAAATATGTCTGTATAACGAAGTAACTCATGAGTCAATCCCCAAACCAAGTGTGTTAATGTCTTGGAGAGTTTCTTGAGACAGTCAATAAGGTGACGGTTAGTAGTTGCGGACTAAAAAAAAAATTAGATTAATATGAATATATAGATGTTATAAAATAATGTAATACATAAGAAGTACATACTTGGCTCACATAAGTAGGAATAACCAGTAAAGATTTAATACCATCACATTTTTCCAATTCCTCTTCGACACAATTACTGAATTCTATGTTTACCAATTCCAGAACATTGAGATTTTCAAGACCTTTCATGACAGTAAAAATATCCTGTGCAGATTGATCCCATCCATTACAGCAATTTTCTAATCTCAATGTTTTCAAATTGACAAATCTTTTTAGTGACACAGCAATATCCTTTGTTAAGTATTCGCAATCACCAATTTCAAAAACCTCAATATTTTCAGTAATAGTATTCAAACTCTGATAGATCTCTTTTGGAAATGCTTTAATAGAGGTTAATGACTAAATAATAATCATAAAAATAATAAGAGTAAATATAAAACTTTTCTTTCCTTAAATATTTTAATTGTATATATAATTAATTATTACTAAACTTACAAATCTATTCAAATGTATTAAATTTTCAAATGATGGCAATGCTGTCAATTTTATTCCAGTTAAACCTTTTAGTCTTAACTCTGTGAGCTTTGTCATTTGTCCCAAATGATTTAAGTTTAGGTACATTAAGGCATTGAGATTTTTTGTCTCTTTCGTCAAATTTGGATTTCTAAAAATAAAATGAATTATTAAAACTATTGAAAAAAAAATGGATTTTATTTTCTTTATTACTTTATTGAAGTAGCATTAAGTACTTCAATTTGAGGTAATGAGTAAATGATATCTTCAACTACATGGACAGGACATGTATACAATTCAATGGATTTTAACATTTGTGCTCTTTTCATTGCGTTTGCAAATCGCAACCAAAAACGTTCAACGTCTTTAACTTCAGAGGGTATCAACATACTCCTAGTGTCTAATGCATCAGTTACTTGTTGATTAATTGTGTTTACAAATCTTTCCCAGTCATAGACCATAGAATTTTTTAAACGAACATTCTGCCACTAAAAATATTTAATAAATAAGCAAAAATACATTATATGACATTTTAAGGTTATACTTACAAAGTTTTTATTCATTGCAACAAAATGCCAGGCGGTACACACTCTAGAAGCTGATAACAGCTCATGAGTTTCCAAATATTCAAAAACATGTCTCAATGCTTTAATCCCGTAATTTATTGATTGCATGGATGCTAAAGATGTTACAATTTCTGTTGAACCATTCATTTCACAATTCCTGTTAAATTTCATGAAAAAAAAAAATTAGGTTTATAGTTATTTTATTGTACTTTAAAGCATATAAAGACCACATGCAAACAATTAGGCCTCAGAACATGACGTATGAAACAATTAGGAAATAACAAATAGGGGTTGAAAGGAATATAGGAATGCCGACTTTCTGCTCAAATCTGAAAACAAACACAATCAAATGATTAAAGTAGTAAAAAAACAAACATTTAACATACACTCATTCATACAAATAAGACCAATGACCAACGCTACTGTGTGCCTGTTCCATTATTACATTCCCCCAAAAGATAGGGAATATTAAATATTTACTTACTCGTCCATATTTTTAGGTTCTTGAATAACACAGGTCATCAAAGTGGGTCCTCTTGTTTGTTTCATTTAATAAACATACTGCTCCTAAAAGCTACCACCAACCATTGTAGTTTTGTATACATTTCCTTGACAAATAACTGTATTAATTATATCAGAGTCACTATTATCACTATCCCTATTCATAAATTTCATTATGTGTTTCTTCAGCTTTTAAATATGTAGATGTTTTATCAATAAAAAAATTAGGTGGGTCTGACACTTGATGCACCTGTCGAATACGAATTGGTTCAACACGTAGTTGTTCCGGTTCAGTTGCACCAATAACCAGTATGAGAAGACTGTACACGTCTATTTCTTTGTCACACAGTAGATTGACAGTTTTAAATAAAAAAATAAAAAAGTTTTATGGTTTTAAAAAATAAAGAAAACTATAAATAATCACTTACTATACATACATAACCAACAATTTTTAAATTAGCATTTAAATTGACACATGATGGATGATATTATAAAGTGGTAGGTTCATCGTTATTCGGGCACCGTATCCCACAAGGTGTATGCATAATGACTTCACCATTTGAAGTTGACAACCTATTTTTATCCATTCAAGTATATGGTTTGATTGAGGAAGGATTATGAAGGAAGCATAAGGATAACAACCCCTTAATTTTGCGTTACATTTATGAAGAAAATAATAAAAGTAATAAGCAAAAACTGTTTAAGCATTAACAATAAAAAACAAAGCCAATATGTTACCGTCTTTTAATTATTGTGTTATCTATATCAATTTTCTCAAGTTTTGGAGAAGAAACTGTTGGTGATGCAATAGATTGAATAGCTTGGCCACCTACAGATATGTATTCAGGTGTAGATGAAGATGTATTCATTGATTCTGAAATACCTAGGTGATAATGTAAAATGTTAGTTATGTATTTAAATTGCGAAATAAGACAAATAATTATTTCTCAGATTAATAGACAAATAAATACACGGTGAGGTCCACCAAATATAAAATTATATTGTATGCAATTTTGAAAAATGTGAATTGTATTTTAACTAAATATTTCAAAGATAGATTGCCTTATGTGTGCATTATAGAATATGACAATGAGATGTAGTATTATTTGAGATAATGCGAGTATACCAAATCACAACTGCAAGAGTCAACACCAATTATTTGAATTAGGTTTATTTAATAATTTATAAATATATATTGAGTGCTAAACAAATTTTTATATGGTATATACTAAATTAAAATTGAATTGAAATAAATATATTACTATAGTAAAATATAGTATATAAAATATATTTACTTTTACCTTTTTTAGATCTCACTATAGAGGAACTGTTAGCATCTTTAAAAACAATTTTCATTTTACTTGAAGACCCGTTGTTTTCATCATCTGGCAATTCATATTCAAATGGTTGCTGCTGTACAAATGTTTTAGATCTTTTAGGTCTAACAGCAAAACCAAAAAAAGAGTTTTCCTAAAACCATAAAATGTATGAAGGGAAATTGTAAAGTATTCAAATAATATTTATTATATTTAAGTTTATATAATAATAATTGAAAAATAGGGATAACAAACTTGTTTCCTAAACTCAAACTTAAATCTTCTGACAAAACTTTTAAAACTTTAATTTAAAGATTTTAAAACATAATAAAAGTAAAATAAACCTTAACTTTAAGTTGTAAGGGTTTTAATTTTTAACAAAATAGTTTTGAGTTATTACTTATTAAGCCAAAAAAAAAATATATCAAATAACCAGACATTGTTAATGTGATATCAAAATGTGTGAGATTTTGAAAAATAAATCAAACTATTCTTCTCTTTAACTTAGATTAACAAATATTAAAACCATTTAAGATTAAACATCAATTTCTCTCGGTTCAAAATACTTAAAGTTTACTATATTTAAGAGTTCTCGGAATTAGAGGTACTCGAAAAAGCAGGGAGGAAATAAAAAATGATATACAAAGGAAAGCTGCCAAATTTAAATGTGTTTTTAAATTGTTATTAGACTATGGAATAACTTGTTACAGTAGACAAAAATAAATACAAATTATTTTCATTACTTTAGATAATTTAGAATGTGCATCTCTGATGAGTTCTTTAGATTGATCATTCATGCCAATTGGTTGTTTTGAAAATGTAAAACTTTCTATGGTTAGATCTTTCTCAGATAAGATGTCCAATTGTTCTTGAATTTCTCGTAATGATCTAAGTTTTTGGTTAGTCGGAGAATAATAGTATACATCAATACTACTATTTGTGCGACTAAGAATAATAGATTCAATTGATGTTCTGTATACTAATTCTCGTTTCCAACCTGAAAATTATTAAACTCAAATAATACACAAAAATAGATCATTAATATAATAATTTACTTACCATTCTCAAATGGAAGTTTATAAATAGCATCCCTGATATTAACATTAATTTTTCTACCCGTACTATGGCGTTTTCTAGTGTTTGAAGAGGTAAGGTTTAATGTTGGAGTAGCAAGTTCTAAAAATGTTAAAAATTAATAACTATTTGATAAAATGTTATTTTTTAAAACCAATCATTATTCATTAAAAGTAAACCCAGTACATATTTTGAAACTCACACTGAACCTAAAATATAATAGGTACCATTAACTTTTATAACGTAAGATATATAAATATAGGGTATCAAATTATACAAATATCATCTTAATATTCAATATTTATTTACATTAGTTGATACTTTATTGTGTATAAATACTATGGTTGTAGTGCATTCCTACCTACAGGTTTTTAATTATTTGAACCCAACACCTAGTGAAATGTGAATTTGTGTAACAAAATTATATTCTTGAAAACCTCCTAAAGCTACACATCATTCTTATGTTTTTAATTACTTATGTTTAACAATCATGATATAAAGTTTAAAAAGAGATAATTGTATTTCTTTTTTTATGTGGTATCAAGAAAATTTGACCAAGACTTGTGTGTGAAGTTTAAGTACTTGATTATTAGTTCCCTTAAAGATAATTTATATGGCACTATATTAGTACACAATAATAAAATTGTGGCATGTGCTTATGATTCAATACCGCATAAAACTGCATTAAAAATCTGTGAAAAACTGAGAAGTAAAAATCATAGTATAATTGCAGTTAAAAATGAAACATAAAATGTATAAAATCAATCTAATCACATTTGAAAATCACAATAAAATTATTTATTATTTTAATGAAATGAGAAAAAGATAATAGAGCATTAATATATTATAGATATATAAAAACTAATATATAATATTATAATTTCTTTGATTTTTTTATTTTAAGTTTATAAGTTTGATAAAATGTCAGCACAATATTTGTTTTTTCCTTCAAACCCATTAGAATCATAGATCAAATGCATTCTCATAAAATTGCTTTTGTTTTTTTTGTTGGGATTTTTGAGTGATCTTAGAATAAAATCATATAATACAAAAATGATAAGGGGATAATATTTATAACCTGCCATTGGTATCGTAGTGAGTGCGGCTCTTCTCATTAGTAGTTTGTGAACCACTTGTTTATTTACTACTTAAATTTATCCAATATTATTAATACCTTCAATCGACACGTGATGTTTAAATAGATTTTTGTAAATATGATAATTTTATAAATATTTCTCAATTATATATCGACATGCAATGTTATGAGTATCCATAAAGTGATCCAATCACTCAATAATATTGACGTAATAATTTTTATTTTTTACAAACGCTGACCGATTTGTAAGGAGAACACAACATTCACATGCGTAGTTACTGTGTAATAATCAGCAAAATATGTCATACTACTTGGGAGAAGATGAATAAAAATGATTATTCAGTATATCATTATGTATAAAGAATTACAAATTAATTTTTATTGGTGCACAATTTAAAATTAGGGGGATGGAGGGGCCGATTGGACTAAGGCAATTGTTGCGTTGCGCACCATGTCCGGTTCGATCTCCAGCCATGGGTGTCATTTCACTTCGGGCAGTCACGGTGTCCGGAGAGAGTGGCAGCCATAACCCACCCGGGCATGGCAGATATCTACAGGAGCTAACTTGAAAATTCTGCCAAACTAAAACCTACAGTACCCTCCCCCACAGTTAACATCCTAACTATAAATCAATTATAAAAATAATACATTATTATTCCACATTCATAATATACATGATATAAAATATAAAAACATAAGCAGGTTTACAGATAGTCTTTATAACTTACTGCTTGCTTTAGACTGTTTCTTTTTATAAACATAATTATTATTAACAATGGATGCCTTATCTTCTCCCATATATTCACCTGTTTCTTTACTTAGGTTCATTTTTAGACCTGAAACGTGGTGATAAACAAAAAAAAAAATTGATTAAATTTAAAATTGATACATATTTAATTTTAAGTTAAATACAAAAGCTGTATTAACATATCATAGACAAAAAACTTACGTTTATTCTTATTTTCAATAATTGTCAATACCTACATCATCATCAATATCAAATTCAATAAAATGTTATTCTTGCTTATTGGTTTCCTAAAAATAAATAAATTACAATTATAACTTATTATTTTTAATTTATCATATTATACAATCTTGCTATAATATTATATGATTAATACTACAAAAAATGTTGTTTGTTATTTATACCTAATATAAGCTAATCTATACTAAATTTTTAGTATGTAATGAAGTGGTTTTTATATAAAGAATTATACAGAAATCAAGCACATTTTATTGGGATAAGTATTAAGTGGGTAAGCTGTATTATATTCACATTATTTAGTAAGATTAGTAAATGTTAAATTAAGACAAATTATTTTTAACATTGTTTTTATTAATCTACACTAAAACAATGCATAAATACTATATTGTAAACATTGAATGTGAATCATAACTTTTACAATGAAGTAAGTGCCTTAGAAAAAATAAAATACAAACTAAACTTACCATTAAGATACTCATTTTTCAAAACCATAATAATTAAAAAGGCAAATAACTTAAAAATGTTGAAAACTTTAATGGATAAGAAAATCGTATGATGCACAGTTATCAGTACCAAAGACATTATATAATAACTAGGTAGATAGCCGACCTCCTGTGGTCCCACGTTTTGATAAGTGAGTCAACAGCCTTTTGCGAATGTGTTATGGTGCACGACGAATCAGTCGTGAACCAAATTGTTGAAATAACGAACACACATGACAAAATAAATAGGTATGTCAGCAACTCGTGATACGCATGTCTGTGACGTAAGCATTTCTCCATCAGGTTGAGCGGTGGAGTGGTGGTGGAGTCTTCGGCGGTGGCGGCTATTGCGGCAGTGACGGCGGTGGACCAATGAGAACCGGAGAAATGCTTACATCACAGTAAATGGCTGGGCGGAGGGTGGGTGCGCGATTTGTTTCTAAATCCGTAATATTGATGACATACCTATATAATTTGTCATGCGAACACAGTTATCGCTATTAGTGCAGACTATATAATTTATTGATTAACACGATCGATGGTTTAAGTTCTACATACGGGTTAGAACAACTAAACGTGGTTGGTGTTGGTAGGCAGAAAGCAGTTCGCGGGGGGAACAATAACAAACGCGCTGGACTTACCTATACGATTTTAAAAACACCACCGTCTCCAGTGACTGTACTAGCTCGGCACGTCTCGAAGCTGGAGCAAATCAGGCCGTCGGTAGCTGAAAACGCGTTTCTATCCAGAGTAGAGAATGGAGAAAATGGTTGAAAATGAGTGAGTCGAGAATCGAAATAGTTACGCGTTGGCGTTTTGCTGAATAATGATGAGGGACCCAGGCCGAAGGGACGCCGTTGGACACCGAGTGGTGGTGCCAACCACGGCAGTGTAACCGCCGGGAGAGAATATTGTGGTGACGCGGCTCGCCACAGTGTCAATGTTAACATTCAAAAACATAACCTCAAAATATAATTTTATAAATTATATACCTTTCTATATATTATAAATATTACTAGCTCTAAGTGTAACTCGGGGCCCATTGGACTCGCTGGGAATGGGTACTGATTTTGGAGACAGTGAATTATAAAAGTCGCAAAGGTTGTAAGACGAAAGTTTAGGATTTGTGATAAGGATTAGTGATATGGATTGGAGATAAGGCTAGACGCTTTGGCGGGAATGTTAAAAGTTTGAGCGTCTAGCAATCCGTCACAAACGTTGTAAATGGATAGGCTAGATACGATCTCCAGGATCACCTATATAGAGTATACCTGCACATAGAGTGGTATGTGCCGTAGCATGACCGGTGCTTTATCTGATGTAAAAAGTGTAAAGTCGAAAACCGTGTTAGAGTTTCTATTAAGTCAGCCATCTCAAGTCAAAATCTATTAACTTTCAAGTTAGCCACTTAGGTAGGCAAACCGACTTCGTCGGATCGCGGAAAATGTGCTACATGCAAATCAGGTAGGCAATCCACCTGCGGTTGATTGCAGACCCGACATCAAGTGGCTATAAGTGAAAACCCTATCACACAACTTACGAAATAATTTACGAAAAATTCAAACTATATACAATATACATACAAACAAATATGATATGTATTTATTGTGTGATATAATATAATAACAATGAACATTTTGAGAATTTGTGCAATTATAATTCCTAAAAAAAATTAACATATAGGTGGATAGTTAGATACATGCTATTTTATTAACCAATACAATACATATAAACATGTAACTATAGTGTATATATATTAATTTTTAAAAAAAATGCAAAAACCTGCATGTTAAAGTGTCTATCAAGTCAATCATCACCGTTTAAGACGAAACTAAAATGAGCAATCCGTCTATCACTTATATATAGTAGGTATATATCACATAGAGTGGTATGTGCCTTCGCATGTCCGGTGCTTTTTCTTATGTAAAAAGTGTAAAGTAGAAAACCGTGTTGGAGTTTCTAGCAAGTCAGTCATCTCAAGTCAAAATCAAGATTAACTTTTAAGTTAGCCACCTAGGTAGGCAATCCGAAATAAAATACAAACTTTATTTATATAACAATCATGGAAATTTTAAAAAATATGCAATTATAATAATTCCTAATAAAACAAATATAATATGTACCTATTTATTGTGTGATATAATATGACAATGACTTTAAATAATAATAATGTACGATAATATGTTCCTATATTATTATATTATTATTTAATTTATATGAAAAATATAGTGAAAAAAAAATGCAAAAAAGTCAGGTTTCGGGCGGCCGTGTAAACCATATGGCGATGACGGCAACGACGCCTGGAGAGAGTACGACGGACTCGAACTCGAGACCTACGTGTTTCCTACCTAACGCCTATCCTACTTGGACACAGTTTGAGATACGAAATAAGGTCAAAACATCAACACTTAAGCCGTGCGTCTACGGAGCGACGTAAATCGATATATTCGATGTACATCGATGTAATTCGCGTGTAATACGCGCATCTCCCATATATATATTTAACGGGGCGTGTGAAAAGCGTTTTCCGTTATATATATATATATGTACATTGAAACAACCCTCGCCGGCACCCACACACACACACACACACACTCAATACACGACGCACATAATTTTAAATCTAGTATGTTTGTCTGCAAAATTTATTTTGAGTTTATTAGTTTTTTTTAATAATTATTGTCGATAGAAAATGCTTTGCTAGGACAAAAAACTTGAACGATTACCATTTGTCATTTCATCACAAATGTGGCAGAATATGCATGAGCATAAAGAAGATATAAAGAACAATTTATAAGAAGGAAAAGGAAAAGAGATGAAAATAAGCAGCTAAAGTCTAATACAGAAGCTACAAAAACTCAGAGAGCATCATTTAATAGAAGAAAAATTGTTAAAAAATCTTTTTTCCGAATTAATTCCTACATAAAAACCAATTTGCTAAACTGTAACAAGTCAAACTTACCAACATAAATCTCCTGAAATAACTGATATTTTTGAACAAACAGTTGATGAAAGCATTAATTCAGAAATAATAGGTAAATGTGTAACATGCAATGATGATATCAATGAACAGTATGTTGGATATGAATGTTCATTTTGCAATGACAAATATCACAAACAGTGCATTAGTCCAAGCAGCTACTGTGATAATATAAGTCTTGATATTAGTGTACTATTTATCTGTATAGCTTGTGAGAGTAGCATTAATATTGACAAGTAACCTATAGGTTTGTTACAATTTAGTTTGGGTCGGTTAATTATTATTAGTTAGGTAGGTACTAATTTTTAGTGCTATAAGTTTTATAATGAAAATTGAAAATGTTATGACTGACTCTAGTTTTTACTAAAAAAATATTGATTTAAAGTACCAATTAATTGTTTATTAGGTACTTATTTCTAAAGGTATTATGAATAGTTTTAATATTCATTTTTTTACTATTGTGTTTATACAAATAAGTTTTTAATAAATAAAAACAGAGGATTGTTTAATTTATACCTATTTATTATTTTAATGTTTCTACCAACTAATGGTTTATTAGGTAAATGGCTTATATAAATATTTGTGATTATGTTTTTACTTGTTATGTTTGAAATATTTTTTTTTACTATTGTGTTTATGTAACATGTTTTTTAATAACTAAAAACAGGGGATTGTTTAATTTTACATTTTAGATCCTGAGTGAAACGATGAATGTATTGATTTTACAATGATGTGTGTTTTTTTTATTTTTTTTTTTTTTATTTTTTTTTGTGTCTGTCATCACGTTTTATGATAGTATAAGTGCTTGGATTTTCTTCAACAGTAGCTTTTCTGATAGGAAAGTGAATCCAGTTGGTACTTTTGGAAGGTTCAAATTTAAAATTCTCAATAGTTTTCACAATCGACAAGATTAACAAGAGAAAAATTAAGGAAAAACGGTAATTTTTAAGCAAAATCGATTTTTCACAAAATTGAATTTGGTTTTTGGTGTAACTTTAAAACAAATGACCGTAGACACTTGAAATTTTCACTGGTTGTTTATATTTGAATTTTCTATACACTATAACATATTCAAAATATTTTGATTTATTTTGAACTGTTTATTGACATTTTCATTTTTCTTTTTTTTTAAGTTTATTTTCTAGAATTATCGATAAAATTTTATTTGTTGGTTAAAAAAACTTGAAAATTTAATAGAAGGCTCCTAGTATATTGTTTCAAAGGCAGATGAAAAATATTAAAAATCGTTTCAAAATAATAATCGTTTTAAATAATTCATACTGTAACCAAAAAATCTAAACAATTTATAAACACACTTATTTTTTACAGACATTTTAATTTCAAATTTAGACAAAATTTCATATTTAATCCAAGAATTACGATTTTAGTTATTTTGTTGTGATTGAATAATATTATTCGTGGGTACTTGAAACTTCTAAAGTGTACTATTATATATCTATGATAGTATCACGGTTGTTGTTGATGTATAACGCGTTATAAGTATCTAATGGATATTGTGATATGATTAGTTTGGAATTTATTATAGGTACCTATTATAGGTCAATTTTTTAATAATACCATAGATATGTATATAATATGTCTTATACATAGACTGACATACCGACACCGCTCAGAATTGTTTTTCTTATACAATGATATTATATCATTGAATTCAAATTTAATACCATCCATTATACAGTGACCCACTTCTAACCTACTGTACAGCAGAGCGACACCCACTTTTTTTAGTTTTTTTTTCTATGAATATCAATAAAGTTTTATCTGTTGTGCCAAAAAGTGTAAAAATTTAATACAAGGCTCCTGATATATTGTTATAATATCAGTTGAAAAATATTAAAAAACATAGACACAATTTTTTTTTTATAAGCATTTAAACATCGAATTTTGACAGAATTTTTCAAAATCTCGAAATTTATTAATCATCGTAATTAATAAGTTTTAAAATGTTCAGTTTTTATAGCTAAGGATTGAAAATTTAAAACAAGATTCCACGTAAGTATTTAATTCTCTTACCGAAAAATCTAAAAATATACAATCACAGTTTATTTTTATAGTCATTTTATGTTCAAATTTGGACGAAATTACATATTAAAAAACCTAGTTATTTTGTTGTGATTATATAATATTATTCTTGGGTACCTACTTGAAACTTCTAAAGTGTACTATTATATATCTATGATAGTATCAGGGTTTGTTATTGATGTTGATGTATAACGTGTTATAAGTACCTAATGGATATTGTGATAATGTGATATGATTAATTTGGAATTTATTATAGGTCAATTTTTTTTTTAATACCATAGATAGGTATATAATTTGTCTTAAACCTAGACTGACATACCGTCTTCGCTCAGAATCGTTTTTCTTATACAATGTTATTATATCATTGAATTCAAATCTAATAGCATCCATTATACAGTGACCCACTTGTAACCTACTGTACAGAGCGACATCCACTTACCCACCTTTTTTATATATTTATACCTATTTAATATTTTAATGTTCCTACCAATTAATGGTTTATTTGGTAAATGGCTTTTATAAATATTTGTGATTATATTTTTACTGGAGTACCTAAATGTTAAGTTTAAACATTTTTAGTCATTAAAGGCAAAAGATTGTTTAATTTAAACTTGTTATTTATTTACATAATTGTTTTAAAAACTACCTAATTAATTATATTATTTTAAAAATAATTTTGAGTAATAGGTAGGTAGGTACCTAGCTATGGTTAGTTTTAAATATTTAAGAATACATCAATAAGTAATAATAATAAATTGTTTTATTTGAAAAATTATATTTTAATGTAAATACACGCATATATTAATTTAATATAGGTATTATGTAGAAGAAAAGTTTAAATACCTAATTGATTTAAGCTGTAAATATATAGGTAATTATAATTTATAGGTACCTAGGTACATTTGAATATATAAATTTATGGGTGCT